TGCTTTGAGCTACGAAAAATTTACATAGAATTTGTCGACTCTTGTTTCATTGCAGACAATGAAATTCATGTCGCCCGCAGTGCTCGCTAGCGACGAGTGTGCCGATTGTTTCTGGCCAACTTGTGCATTTTTCACGTCATTGTGGAGCAAAAGCTATTCGCATTGTCATCATAGTCAATACAAATTAGAATTCGTCAGGTATGTCAGAGAGTCTTGATTATCTCTCTGGTCCAGACAGAGAGAACATTTTGTGCTCCGAGGCTGAAGGATATTTTACCCTGATTTTTTTTCGTAAAAAGTGTTATTAATATTGTTGTTTATTTGTCCACATTGTAAGAAGTCCAATTGTTTACATTCAATTAGTTGGAAAAAAATTTTATTAAAAAAAATGAAATTTTTGTAGCAAACGGCACCACCAGCACTTGCAAAAATTTTGTTAAATTTCATTATAAAAACAATGTATATCTATAAGTAAGCGTTATTATTTTTATATTTGTATAAATCAATTTCAAATTTTTAATTGTGAAATAAATTATTTTATTATACAACAAGATTATAAATTTCCATATTTTTCTCATTAATTTTAATTTGAATTTTAAAATTATTATTTTTAAATAATATGATAAGAATATAATGAAGTTTAATTTGTATTAAATACTCCTTCTTTTTAAAATATATAATTTCTTTTGCATCACTAAGAAACCTAAAAAATTTCATAAATAACATTATTTTGGTTCTGGATTTTGGATGGCCTCGTTCTTTGTTGTTTTAATCACATAATCATAGACATTTAAATTTATCAACCTAATAATGAATAATGGCACGGCACTTTCAGCTCCTTGAGTAATAAGATTAAGAAAAGAAATTTAATACATATAATTGTAAAAGTTGAAGTGTCAAGCTTAAGATTTATATTAATTAATGAACAATAAATACGCGCAATTTCTGCCTGATTTCACAAATTTTTTGCCACGTGAATAGGTAAAATAATTTAAAATTAGTCCCTGATACATTCGCACTCAAATGCGCGCCCTTTGTTGGTTTCCATGGTTCAAGCACCATTTATACCAAGTGCTCGTTACACACACTGGGTTTTATAATCTGCCCATAAATTATACGTTTTACTGCCCAAATTCTCGCATTGTGTGTGAAAAGAGCGGTGGTGTGCTGTCTTGTCACACATTTTCACGTGCCCCGTGAATGGCCCTCTTGAATAAACGCGAATAAATAACCAACCCTTTTTGTATTCTGAACGCCGAGCATGATTTAAATGCTTGGCGATTTTATTCACCCAGCCCTTTTTATTCAAGTTCTATGAATAGCAGCAGCAGTGCTTATTCTTATTATCATTCTTTCTCCATTTCATTTTCACTCTCGGCAGTCATTTTTTAATAAAAATAAAATCTCGTCAGGTATAAATGTCCATCACGAGATTCATTATTATTATAGAATCTCTGGCCCGAGATGCGCTGCTTACTTAAGTTGTTATAACGTGAAACTGCTGCCTCGTTTGCTTAAGAATAGAGTTCAGCAAAGCCAAGGTTTTTCAATCCGAAAAATTGATTTATTCTGGATTTTTCAAGGAATCCACATAAAATTGAGAAAAATTGCAATTTTAATTCCCTCTGGTTAATTTTAAATTTTCCAAGATTCCATAAATGTGCTTATTCCGCGCAAAGCTATAAAAATTAAAAATATTCCCAGGAATTTTGAGGTAAGACCAATGCAGAAATTTTAATCGGGTATTATTAAATTCTTGTTGTTAAAATTTAATTTTTCCTCTATAGATAGAATAATTTATTCTATGTAACGTTGTTTTATAATTTAAGCCATTTTTTGATCATCAATGTGCAATCAAAATCACAACTTTATTTACTTTAACTTTAGAGTTACTAAAATCTTATTAAACATTAATTTTCCTGTGCCGACCTCTAAGTCATATCATGAATGTATTATAAAGATTTAAGCGCGAGACAAAATCGAGGTGTTCCTCACGGACTTTCGAGCCAGTTCCCCTGCTGGGCACAGGCTGGGCTCCTTGTTGGGCATGATGGATCGCCGAGTGTAGTGTGCGGTCTGGGCCACACACACACTCTCTCCGCCGTCTATACAGTCTTTTCCGCTGCTTTTCGGTCGTGTCACGCCACGCCTGCTGCCTCGCCGAATCACGTCGCATTTCCATTGGTGACAATTTGCTGCTAATACGCCTGAAAATTGAGCGGCCCGACACCGCCGGACATTTGTTTCGTTTCACTCTTTACATTGCGAGTGGGATGCTGCTGGGGTCGGACCAAAAGTGATTTGTGCAGCTGATCCACCGCTCGGCAGCTGCAAATTTTTCACTTTTCATAACGCTCATATCGTTTCAAATCACGGTTGTTGCCTTCGATGAGTGAAAAAAACTATATTATTTCAAACTGAATTGGCACCTATTTAGTATTTATGATTATTTTAACTGAAATAGATTACATGTTTAGGTATTTAGTATTTAATATACTGTTTAGGCTGTTTTTAGATGAAATCTTTATAAATATGCAATTTTTGCGATTTTTCGTGAATTTTAAAATTGAAAAGACAGGCGATTGAAGGCGGGAAATCTATAAATATTAATGTCATTCTATAAGTAACAAAAATTGCATTTAAAAATTAATATTATACAAATTATTTTAATTATTTTTCAGCTATTTAAATTTTTATTAATATATATATTTTAAATTTACTTCTCTTTTTATTTATTTTAATATTTATTTTCTTTTTAAATTTTGTTTTTTATTATTTATAAAAATATAAATGCTTGAAATTTATTTATTTAAATATTAAAAATTACAAATAATTAGTTTTTTTTAATTTTTACAAATCTTGAAATTAAATAAATATATATATAATTCTTGAAAAAAAATTAGTATTCATTGTTTGCAGGTGTTATGTCAATTTAAGCTTATGAAAATGTCATTTATAATTTTATATAAAATTTTTGTTTGATAAATTATCAACAATTAGGTTGGAAAATTATCACCAATTTTCCCAATCCCCATTTCAAATTTTCTGAATTATAAAAGGGGTTATAAAAGGGAAATTTTCTGAAAGCACTGACCTCTTAATTAATTGATAAATTATAATTGTTTTTTAAACTATTTAAAATCTATAACATTAATTTATTCGGATTTAAAAACATACTTAATAAAATTATCTTCTTTTAGTGAGTTATCTATTTGAATAAAATTAAAAATTGGAATTTTTCACCGGTTTGGACTGGAGCTTCAACGCAATCTTTTATTCTGGTTTTGCGGCATATTTTCGAATTTCTCGCGGTTAACAGAGCCACGAGGGGGATGCAAACGGGTGCAATATGGTGGGCAGCAGCGTCCCGAAGTGAAATGTCACCTCGGCCAGGGTGTCCCTGCGGCGCGCCGAGTCATCCATCACTGGCTGTCACGCCACCCGCAGCACACACACGACTCTCCATACCTCTATGCAGATTCTGGAGGCGAATCTCGCTGCAGGAAGCAGGAATTTTTCTTTGCATGTGTGGGGCCTCGCCAGTTCAGAAAGAAAGAAACGAACCGCGAGAGGTGTTAACTCCGGACAATCACAAAGTTCCCTAAAAAGCTCCGGCCAGACTGATAAAGGAAAAAAAATTGAAAATCACACAAAGAATGGAGCGAAAAATAGGATGTTTTGTCCTGTGTCGCGCCGTTGTTGGCTCTCTTGTTGTTGGCGGTGTTATTTTCGGAGCTGTCAATATATTGACCTTCCTTGTGAAATAGCGTTTTGGCTTTTTAATGGCCCATTAACGCGCTGACATCCGTGAAATTTTGAGGGACGTTTTTGAAAACATTCACGTAATAAAGGGAAAAATATTTTTTACCTGGAATCAATAAGTGAATTTTGAAGTAATTGAAATTGATATTATGAGACGGATTTGGTATTTTTCAAGACAATATGAAAGACCAAACGTTTTTAATTTTACCAATAAATTTGCTACATTAATTAATTTTTTTTTATGTAACTTTAATCTGAGCTATATAGAAACATGTGCAACACCAGCAATAAGAAAATGTGTTTTGGATCAGTTTTTTTTTTAGAATTATGAGGACAGTTTTTGCTCAACTTTTCCTTAATTTCCAAGATGGGTTTTCATCATTCCGGGAGACCATTATCTTTGTGGCCCATAAAACAAAAGCATCGCATCAGCACACGGCGAAAAGCGTCGAGCCAATAAGCGTCTCGTAAAGTCGGCACGGCTGAAATGTTTTATGTCGCCTCGTATTTCCAACTTTCTGAAGTGGACGGGAAAAAAGTATGCATAAGAAGAAGGCGCTCACACACACACACACACACGAATAAAGAGTATAGAGTGTAAAGTTGAAACCATTAGCCCCTTATCGTGTCTGGCGGAATGGCCCGGGCGCAAATATATACGGCGACGAGATATAAAAACGTTTCCTTCCCGTTGCAAGGAAAGAGAGAGAGCCGCTTTATATCTTAATAATGCATCTACATGCTCCACTTTGTGTGCAAAAAGTTAGATTAGACCTAAGGGATGAAACAATATATTTTTTCCTCTCATCTCGGTGCGCGCAGTCGTCCCCAGTCGTAACCATGACAACTGCTGCCGAAGCAAGCAAGCAAGTGTACGTGGAAAAGCAGCGGCCATTGGAGCGCGGAATGGGAATTGCCGTGGCTGAGAGGAAAAACTAGCTTACTGACTGAGAAGACATGAACCACCCGAGGCGCGCTCTCTCGCCATGCAAATGAATGGGGGGCGCCGAGATAGCGATTTTGTCACTATGCGTGGGATCGTCGACATTTTATCTCTTATCAACGCAGTTTTAACTGACTTGACACGCAGCAATCCGAGCCGAAAGTTGCGACCAGGGATTTTCTCTCCTTTTTTTACTCTCAGCCCCTGCGATAAATTCAATTTGTTCCGCTATCCGCGCAGCTGTGGGGGAGAAAATTTTAAAATAAAAACGAGGTTGATTTGATACAATAATTTAATTGATCGTGACCACAGTGAGAAACATGGAATTGCACATTAACATTCGCAAATCTACAATGAAATATTATGAGATAATAAATTTTATTTTCATCGATGACAACTTTTCTTATTCACATTATGTGCAGCTGAATAAGCTCTGTACATTTTTGCAAAAATAAAATTAATCAAATTTGAGGGTGATTCCCTGTGAAAAAGGAATTTTTAATATTATCAAAACTATCGTAATGTAATTCGAAAGAAAATATTAATCATGTTATACTTTTTCAAAGAGTTTTTATTTAAAAAGTTCCTTGATATGCAATAATTAATTTTTTTTTATCAATTTCGCAAAATGACTACAACATGATCTGGAATCACCCCCTTCAGCAAAATATAAAATGTGTTTTATGAAAAGAGAACTACGTTCAAAAGTTGAGATCCACTAAGAGTTTGGAAAGTTAAAAAGAGTCCTCGCGTCGATTTATTTTTTAACAAACTAATTAAGAAGAGGCACCATCACAGTTATTGTCCGCCCTGCAGCTATCTGGAGTGCTGGAGCACGAGTTTGGCGGTGACGACAGGTCCTTAGGGGCGGTAGGGGGTTGCAGAGAGTAGGGGCTGAATCGGTGTGAGGGGTAGACAGGTCGTGGCAGGCGGGGGAGGCCGTCGGGCGAGGCAAGCGAGGCGGCCGCGGCGGCGGCCATTGCGAAATGCGAGTGGGCCGCAAGGAGTGAGGAAGGGCCCAGACAGGCCCATTGGGACCAGAGTTGTTGAAGGGGCAGAGGGGAGGGCATTTCAGGTCGAGGGCGATAGAGGAGGGGAGATGCTGACGAGGTGGAGGCGGCATTTCCAAAGGGGGATGAGGACGTGGAGGCGGCCACGGCCGCCGCTCGGAGGAACAACTGGCTGCGGGCGGCCAGAAGGGCCTTTTCCTCCATGCTCAGGTTTTGGGCAGAGGCGCCCTGAAAACCGTTGTTGTTGTTTAAAAGGTCGAGCTCGGAGAAAGGTCGAAGGGGTGACCTGAGGTAGTGCTGCTCAGCCAACATCGACTCCATGGTTTCTCTGTTTGAGCAAAAACAAAAGAAGAAAAAATACGAAAGGTTACAACAAGATAGCAAAATTTACCAGAAGAAGTTATAAAACACACAGGCTACAAATACTTTTTCTGATTATTTCTAATTTTTAAAATTTTATATATAATTTTCTGATTTAAAGTCATTATGTTTTGAAATAACTAAGAGAAAAGTTGAAAATATTTACATTAATCTGTAATCAAATAAAAATATTTCTCTTACATAATTTATACAGCTAATAATATTGTTGTAAAAGAATTTTTACAAATTAAAGACACAGAATTTTAAACTAAAAATTAAATTTAATATTCTTTAAAAAGCAAAACACATCAAATAAAATAAATAATTCTATTTAAAAAAAAAAAATCATTTTTTACCTTGTAATTATACATATTTTATCTCTTTAATTTATATAAAAATGATGAATCATTGCTATTTGTTTCTTTCAATACCTTTCAAACTCTGTGAGTCTGGAGGAGTCTCTGAAACCCTTGGCAAAAGGATTGCTGTCAATCTTCAGCTTGGTGATCTGCAACAGTCGAGAGCAGATAATTAGCCAAACTGCCGATGGCAGACTCAACAAATTCACGCCGCGTTTCCTCCGGTGTGTATATTTATGAACAAATGCGCGGATAATTTCGCGGAAACGAGATCAAAAGTCAAGCGGCCGGTGATATTTCATCATTTGCAGCCGGTCGTTGGCTGCTGCTTTCACGCCACACACACACAGATTTATTTTAATAGCTTTTGACAAACATGATGTATAATTAAGCAGGGCCGTGTAACTCGGAAGTGGATGGGAAGTGTGTGCGGCGCGTCGCACGGGTGGGCCAATTACGGCGTCCCGAGACAGGGGCTGAGCGATAATGAGCAGTCGCGCATCCCCTCTCGCCACCACCCCCGAGTGTCAAAAACCTTCTGATGGATGCGAGAAAAGGCAAAAAAAGTTACAAGATCTCCTTTTCCACACAAAAAGTAATTTTTCAATGTGTCCCAGGACTGAACCAAAAATTTCACTTAAAAAACTAATGAGAAATCAAACGACCAAATTCATTTATTACTGATTGAAAAAAGGATATGAAACTATTTTAATAAATAATCATTCAAACTTTAAATTAATTTAGGAAAAAATATAAAAAAATCTGATGGTGTGAGTGGCAGAAGTTTCATCCTGAGTTAAATCAGATTAGGTTCGTGGCAAATCTTTCAAGCCGCGAACACTCGAGAGCAGATGAATTAAAAAGTCAACCGCAAAACGAGCTAATTCTCAATCCCCAGATTCTCAGCGAGGCAGTTGGTTAAATTTAAATCAAAAGTGTGAGAGCGGAGAAGCGAGAGAGCGAGCGCGGCTAAATGTACCAAATCGCGACAGCCGAGAGCATCTGCCGCCGCCGCGGCGTCATTTATTTTGTTAGAATTCACTCGCGCTTCTCCACTGACGAACAATTACGTGTTCACATGGTGGATAAAATTAATCGCGTCCCGACGCAGCTCGCTAGACTGATTAATTATGCGTGCAAGTCTTAATTTCGCCCGCCCGCGAGACCGAAATTTCCTCGTTTTTGTGAAAACAAAGATAATTTTGTAAAACTCACCAGCTGATTTTGGTAGGCAGTCACAGCGGTGAACACGGTCTCGGGGAAAATGTAGGTTTTGTAGTGCTCGCACTCCAGATCGGTAATGTGTGCGTTGTCGGAAAAGTTTGACCTGAGCCGGACGAGGTGAATGCGAGGTTGATATTTGTGCATTGAGTTCAGCACCAACTGTGGACAAAAATAAAAGCAAAAATCTTAATTAAAAAAAAGTGGGAATATATTTATTTTTAAAACTTGACATAAAAAATATTTAAATCATGCAATTTTGTCAATTTTTCTATTTAAATTGTCATATCAATCGTAAATTGATTTTATGCAACTGTTGCAAAATTATTTCAAACTAAAAGCTGATTGGGTTTTTTTTTTTAATTTCGTATTTAAGATTTAAAAAAAAAAAAATAATGCACTCTTTCAATAAAAATCCGCAATTAATGCATTTTCTTACATTAGTTCCCCCTACCTGTCCATTCTTGTCCATTTCGTTGTTGGTGAGTTTGACCTTCTCGAAGGAGACGACCTGCTTCCTGAGTTGGTCCCCGGTGAAGGGTGAGTCGGGGTGCATGTAGAGCCGCGGGGGTGCCGGCGGGTCGGCCTTGCCCGCCACCAGCCACGACGACCGGTGGTACGCGTAGCGGTACCTTTTGCTGTCCACGGGGACAATGTCCATCAGGACCGCGTACCTCGCGTCAGGTCTCAGGTACCCACTCAGGGACACCCGCACGGTGGGAAACATCCGTCTGAAAGCAGAAAATCAATTTGTTCTTTATAGATGAATCCACATTGGTACTTATGGAAAAATTAGTAGTTTTTTTATGTGAAATAATTGAATAATATTTAAAATAAAATTATTTTTAAATCAATTTTTAGTGTTGCAGAGGCTCATTGAATATTTTTAAATCTGTGATTTTTTCTAAAAACTTGTGACTTAATTCAAATTAATTAATTTTTAATGATTCAAAATTAGTTGATAAAATTTGAATAATTTAGAATTATTGAAAGTACGTAATTATTTACTGAAGGTGGTAAATATTATGGAAATAAATTAATCAGGCATTTTCCTCGTTTCAGAAATTTTTTTATTCAAAAAACAAATGCTTAATTATTTGGATGAAATTCTATTCACACGAACCTATTTTTTCCCACCCATATAAATCTTTTAAAAAAGAAACAAAATTATCACTTATAGTTAAAGGTAATTTGAACTGAACAGAGGCGGATCAATTTTACGAGCCATTGTCTTTACGTTTCGCCTCCGACTTTTAATTCCTGATTAGCAAACATAAATTAATCGAGAGACGCTGAAAAAGTAAATAAAAGAACGCAATGTGGGCATTCATTGTCGCGCTTTGATGTCGGTGATTTAATTAGCACAAGGGAGGAATTTGTTCTGGCCAATGCTGGCTGGTGATGCGTCTTTTAACAAGAGCCCGGCGTGCCATGGCTCAAGCAAGTTTATTTATTTTTCCGTGTCTGAGTGTCAGCTTTTTTGCCGGGTCACAAATCAACACGCCGCTTTGGTGGCGGCAGGGGCGTCTTTGGAAATCCATTCATAGTTCACTTATTTTTCATTTTTTTGTTTTAGTAGCCAGCGTCATTTTAATTTTTGAATTAAATAATTTTGTTATTGTTCAAAAATAATATTTTACACATTTATAAAATTATAAAATATGCAATAGTCAGAAAAATATTGATTTGATTTGAAATTCAAAGCATTATACAGTTTAATTTTTTTCGTATATTACTTGGAGAGAATGATACATTCAGATTCACATTTTTTTAGATCCATTTTAATTAAAATTTATATCACAAATAAAAAAAATTTAATAAATTATGAGGCCCCATCAACAGTTTTTGAAGCATTGCTGTTTAACAATTTCAATTAACATAGAGCCTATTTATTTATTTATTTATTTATTCTCCAATCAAATAATTGCCAAGCATTAATTTGATCAATTTCCATCCAAGTCATAAGCTCTACAATCTTTTTTATAAATTTTAATTCAAAAGTTGATATAAACAAAATCTTGTAGCAATCAAGCTTTAATCCATATTATTGAAATATATCAATCTAAATATCATTTTACGTAATTATAATGAATTAATTTTTGAAAATTCCGAAAATGGCATAGCAGATATTAAACTATTTAAAAATTTTAAAAATAAGGCCATAATAAGAAGTAAGATTATATTAAACATAAAATAACTTTTACAATAAAATTGTAATGCGTACTTAAAATGTATTGATTAGTTTTACTTGATTATATTATTCTTCTCTGTCAATACAAAGATTTTTAAATTGGAAACAGTTACAATTAAATAGATCTGCCCCTGTTGGTGGCACTCCAATTACATTAGTTAGCGTGGCACTTGTAATGCGGCGATGTGTGTGGTGAACAGCCAAACAATTTAATTGAGTCGCGCGCGTTATATGCGGCCGCGAGAAAACGCCATAAATCTCCTGCGTAAACGAAGACGGAGCTCTATATAAATTCAAAAGGCTATGCCACTTATTTCGGCGCGCGGCGGCAATTTAAGGCTCCTAATAGTATCAAATGATGTGTTACAGCTGTTTTAATTAATTAAATGTTTTGATATTTGTGTCTCGAGTGTGTGTACTCACGAGTCAGTCAAAGTTGTGTGAGAGGCGAAAGGGCAGGAAGCAGCGAGAGTTATTTCAACTGCTGCGCTGGCACCACGACTCACTTTACATATTTCTTTCTCGCTCGAGAAGTTTTGGCAGCAATTCGTCTTTGGGATTTTGATTAATTCGCTCGGGATGCTCACGAAATTGCCCTGAAAATGTGCTCGGAGAAAGTGAATTATTTTTTCCATGTAATTCTCTGTGTTTACTTTTAAACCGTAGGGCAATTATTTTTCGTAATGTTCGGTAATTACACAACGATTTGAACGCAAAGTGTTAAAATAATTGCGAGCAGGAAAAAAATTGACGGCTGATAAGATAAACGAGAGCCGAAATTATGACAATCTGCTGCCTTTGTAATGGACACTGCAAGAACTGCGTATTTCGGTGCCGTAATGACTACAATTGCACGGGCATATCAAAATCTAATTAACCGCCGTGTCATTAAAAATGTTTAAAAATTATCAAATATCTCCATCTGCAAAAGGAAATTATTAAAACTTTCATCCACCCGTCGCAAATCGTTTTTCTTTTTCAATTATACTTAAGAGAGGATTTTTATCTGTTTAATTTATCGCTGCACAAGAAAATTCCACAGCGTCTAGCCAATTTCGTCGCAAAACCGCAAAATTCGGCTTCGGCGGTGGCGGCGCGCAGACTGGGCTGATTAACATTTCCGTGTGCAACCGCAAATCGCATTATCGTCCTCTCTAGCGAATTCTCGCTTACCAGCAGACAAAAGAACAAAACGCAATAAAAAAAAAAAGGAGAGAAGATCCGGCGGGAGCAGAAAAATCCAATTTGCCGATTTATAAATTTGTGGGAAAGAAGAAGTGAATGCGTTATTGAATTGTTATGTGGCGCTGCCGGCGTCCTGGGAATTAGAAACGATCAAATGTGTGTCCGGACAAATTGCCGGAGAAGGACGATTTTTCCCACTTTATGTCTCAATTTTGGTGAGTATACATGATGCACACACAATATCACGGCCCGCCAATTCCCGAGGGACGAGGAGACGCTCGCATAAATATTTCAACCCATGGTTAGTTATGATCACGCCAAATGATTAAATTAGCTGCGAGGGAAATTCGCCCCGACCGCCGGCGAGTGTGACTGCGCGATGGGCGTGCGGTACAAATACATTTGGGCAGTGAAAAAATGATGAGTTTTCAATTTAACACATGTAAAAACTTGAACTAATGTTGTCCGGAGTGATAATTTTACTAAAATTTAGATTAATTAATTTATTCAATTTAATTTAATGGCAATAAAAGTTCAATTTCAATAAACTAAGTAAATAGAAACTAAATTACGCCCCTGAATCATATTGCAAAACTGATTAAATTGACTTTTTATTCATTTTCTAAGACTACTTTCAAATAAGGGCCATTTTAAATTTTTTTTTATATTGCGTAAAGTTTAATTGATTGAAAAATTTGATTATTTAAAATTTAAAAACTTGAACCAGTAAATGATACCAATGAAATTTTGTGGCTGCTGGAAGGATTCATTTATTTAATATTTATGGGTTAGTTTCCAAGTTTAGTCTCAAATGATCGAAAAAGATCTAAAATTGGGATTTGCAAAATATTTTGAATAAAACTTTGTGTTTTAGTACGTCTACGGCTTTAGCTAAAAACACTTTTAATATATTTTTTGATCTCTACTTTATTTTTAATATTTTTTATTGTTGTCAGTAGCAATTAAATAGGGGTTTGCTACTGTTGTCTATTTGTCCAAATTTTTACATCGCATTGTTTTTATTCAATTGTTAAAAACAATTTATTTGAAGAGAAAGAAAGGGAAAGGAAGACCAAAAAGACCCCATCTGCTGTGTAAGCCTTGGTTGACTAAGTTTTTTTTTAATAAATATTGTTAACATTATTTTATTTTTAAAGTCAAAATATTATATATTATTAAAACTTTTTCTTTTGTTCACTGCCCTTTGACTTTATTGTAAATCGAGACAAACGCACCACTTCCGCGCTAGGGGTGAATCAAAAACGTTTACACGTCCCCTTCCTCTCTCTTGTTACAACGCTCGCTCGCTCACTGTATCTCGTTTTGTGCCTTCTAACCTCTGACACGCGTGAATCTCCAAATTCATTTCCCCCTTGTGATTGTGAGCATTATTTTCTCTTTCCTCGGCCGCGCTAGAGAGTGGAAAGAAATTTAGTGATGGGAGATCAAGATTAGAGCAGAGATTAGGCCCGAGAGTGACGAGCTCGAATTGTTACAGACTGGATCGAATGTCGGTGTTTAATAATGTGGACAAATTATCTATCCGTCAGCGTTTGGCGGAGAGCGACTTTGTTTTCGACCGAGAGAAAATGAAAATAATCCCTCGCTTCCTCCACAAATAATTCTTCCTGCGCCTAATAAAAACTGGATCTTTTTGGATTATTAGTAAATGAAAGGATAGGTCAATTTTTTCCTTTTGTCGATGTATTAGTTTTATCAAAATATACCTTTGAAGTAAAAAATTCAATGACTCTAAAAAATGTGCTACCACAATAAAAGAAATCACAAAGTACTTTCGCGATAAAATTTTATCTATACTAATAAGAAAAGCGTTAATGAATATTTTATCTCTTTTCCTCTGTAAAATACCAAAATTTTTATGGGCAGCAATTGCCTTTGTGATAAATTAATAAAAAAAAGTAGCAGATAAAATGGTTAAATTAAATATAAAACGGTTCACTCTAGATTATTCGAAATAATTTTTCAATAATTTAATATTATATCGTACAGTTGTGGAAAAACCAAAAAGCCGAGGGCTGTATTTTCCAAATGTATGTTGATATGTCAAATGTCAACTATTGTCACATTAGAGGTGTTGGTAAATTCAATCACCTTTTGGAAATTCCAAACAGATAATATCGTTGACCCTCCTGAAGGAAAAAATGTTCATTTTCAAAATTATTGTATTCGATTAATTAAAAAATATATCATTAAAAGTGTATTAAAATAAATTTTTAATGATGAAAAGAATAAAAACTGCTGAATTTATTTCATTTTTAAAACATTGAAAAATATTTAATCACACCTCCCGTATAATATATATTAAAGAAGGAAAAAAGTGGTGTTATTGATCTT